TCACGATATTTCAAAAAAATTTGCGATAACAATATTTATGACGATAAAGAAAAAAAAACATGGAACAACGTTTTATTGGTGATTGCAGCTGGCAGGCAGCAGCATTTAATGAAGGGCATTTTCCATCATTTTCCAATGAGCTACTGTCATCGACAGACTACCTAATTTGAAGTGTAAATCTATTGTCATAAGGTGGCAGCAGCAGCAGTGTTCGACTTGAAGCAGACCGATCGGTGTATGACGTCAAAATACCGCGAGAGTGACTTACCCCTTATTTACACTGCACGCGTTTGCGGTGCGTTACGGCTCTGACGCTGCCACTCTAGTCAATGCTTGTGTTTACACCAGCGGAGCCGCGGCATGTTTCAGAAGCGGCTCTCCACGCCGCTTCGCTAAAGATATGCGCCTCGCCTATTTTTGACAGTAAGAGTGTGCCCTTGAATATGCTCTAGAACCGCTCTCGCGATACTTTGATTTCATACATTGATCAGTCTGCGCAGCGCTGCTTCAAGTCGAACATACCTATTGGGTTTGTGGTGTTGTTGTTGTGCGCGCTAGGGAACGTATATCCGCCATAAGTCATTGCGTCGCTATATCATTGATATCGCAATATGACTCTTTTTTTTATCATGTAAAAATTTATACTGGTATTATCATGGACGGTATGATATGGCACACCCCTATGAGCATCACTATTTATTTTTAATATTAAGTGTTAGTTTTCCCATAGGACTTTTCATTCATTCGTTCATCTTCAAAAGACAGATGATATTTGTAATAAAAAAAACCCTGAAAGTTATGCACATAAATATTGTAGAGCACATCTAAAATGGTAAACTGACTTCATGGGTTCCTGTGAAAACTCAAACATGCTTGCTTGACAGGCAAAATTCACTGGTTCTCACATGTGAAACTTACATTCACCAAACTCGATGTGCTCTCTGTATGTGTATAAAAGAATAAAAGCCTAAATTAAATCTGTTCATCATATAAAGAGATCATGTGTCTTCAAACTTGGATTAAACCACTCGATTCATATGGATTAATTTTACAATGTTGTCATGAACTTTTTGACTTAAACTTAGAATCAAGTTTTGGCTGTGTGGAGGGACAGAAAAATCTTAGGCTTCATTAAAATATCTTCACTCATATTTCAAAGATGAACTAAAGACTTATGAGTCTGAAATGACATGAGGGAGAGTAAATTATGCCAATGTTCACTATTGGATGAACTAACCCTTTAATATTCTCCTGTCCCATCTTAATATGCAGAGACAAATGTAAGAAACCCATTCATAGTTTGACTTCCCTTAATAATTATCAAAACGCAAAGAAGCGCTATCAACCCGACATGGCTCAAGCAATGGTGTGCGTTTGGAGGCAAAACTATCCAGAACTATCCTGCCATTCAAAACAAATGACTGCTGGTCAGTTCAAAAGGCTGTGGATGTGAATGCCCCATTCGACTGAAGATCTGAAGACTGTTCTTGTAAAATACCATCAGGAATATGACACTTATCTGTGTATAGAAACCACCAGGGGTACACAATCCCAAGTACCTGCCTCCCTGGTACAGAGCTCACAGGAAGGGCTGAACGATTAATTGCATTTTAAACAGCCAAAGGACGTAATTAGAATGGGAGATGGATCGGTTTGTGAAAGCGAAGAGAAAAGCCATAGATGAAGTCGCACAGACCCAGGCAGGTGCTGGTCATTCAAAAGCTAAATGCAGAAAATATGATGAGGCATATCTTGTTCTCGGCTTCACTCACTGTGTCTATACCGGACGCTAAAGTTGTCGCGTCGCGCCGCAACAGCTCTATACTGGACGCGGCAAAGCCACCGTTGCAAATCACATTAACTTTGTGTCAGTACGTCATAAATAGAACAAGGCATCAGTTTAATGT